TTTCTCCCCTAGGCACAGCCCTTTAAGCGCCCACCCGACACTTAAAAAAATCCTTTATTAAAAAATTAGTTATAATAGAAAATAAATTGAATAGTATTATTTGCGTTTTTAGATAACAAAAAATAATAATTTTCTAAAACTGAATCGAAAAAGGTATTTTTAAATAATAAAAAAGTCATAGTTCTCTAAAACATTTTTTTTCTAGCCTTTTGTGAAGCAAATTTATCCAAAATTTCCTCAACATTTATGCGGTCTAAATATATCATTACTCATGTGTGGAAGTGCCAATTCATTAAGTCTCACTCTGCCGAGAGAATTTCTTGAAAAGTTCATAGTAGTCTCGCTCTGCGATTACGTATATCAATTTGATACAAAAATTGCAGCTTCTCAGTTTTCATATCCTGTTATATAGTAGGTAAATGTACACATTTCAAAATGAATGTGTAATTACTGTTAATCTTTGTCGTAAAAAACGAGGTAAAAAATGATCAACACTAAGGAATTAAATTTAAAAAGTCGTAAGCACATCGTTATGGGAATTTCCATTCAGTGTGCGTATACTGCTCATGGCGTACGATACCTGGTGGTGGCACTGGCGGCTGGCGCCCCTAAATGGTCGGCGCCCCTAGTCACGCAGCCTACGCGGCCTAACCAGTAAACCGCACTGCTACGTACCCACTTCCCTACTTGTCTCTCAGTTTGTGGAATAAATCTTGCAATCAGCAATTTAACTTCATTTAACTTGGATAAAGAAAACCTAAACGTAAGCAATTTTCGAATGAATATTTGCCTCATATGTAATAAATCCCATATGAGGTGTGGGTGTGCAATTATCGGTCAATTACAGCGGTAATTGCATTGTAGAAATCGAAAGAGCCCTGCGATAATTTCACATTTCATGGGAATTTTATAAGTAGGTAAGGTGAGTTTGTAATCTTTATTCAGGAAATATTCCCCCGAATTACACTCGTGCATCAAAATAAACCTGATAATTTTTAGCGCATTTTCCAACGAAGTTGGGTGCGCTATTGTAGCCACTTTCTCTGTCCATCCGTCTGTCCTAGGCCACAGTTTTCAAGATATTTAGTTCGTTCTTTTTGCATTCGGTATAGCGTATCGCTCTGGTACCTGAGTCAAAGAAAATCTGCGTAGGACGCGCAATATCAACTGCGCAGTTATAAGTGTTAACTTCCTTATTTATGAAAATATTTCTTTAAAATTTTAACCATATATGCCTCTAGTAATGAAAAACATAGCGTACATATGTATGGCCTTTGGGGAAGTATTGATCAATTTTTGGAAAATGCGCTGAAGTTACTCGCCTTAGGGCGAAAACCTTTTTAATTGTTTATTCAAGTACCTTATCACTAAAAAACTGCGTTCGGTTATTTTCATAATTTGTTAAAAGAGCATTTTGATGCACTTGTGCAATTACCTACGAAAATTGTCACAAAGCAAAGTTTTAATAGCGATCCTCGAGATGGTTTATAATTTTGTATCTATTACTGTCTACCGGTTTAGTGTGTTGTCACTTCACTCAACGAAACCATGTGTATTGTATGCAAAAAAATCCCCTGAATCGGTAAATGACAGTCTAGCTGACCGGAAACTCCGGGAACATATTGCTATACACAAGAAAACGAAGAAAAAGTGGGAAAATGTCGTTTTTTCGCATTTCACTTAATTAGGTATCTCGTTAACTATTCCTCTTACGGAAAAAATGAAGAGAACGAATTTGTTTAGAATGGATTTTTCTATTAGATACAGTTGGTATGATTTTTATTTAACAGAGTGTCAAGGGCCTATTATAAAGTTACTTTCTTGTTCTATTTCTGGGGTTTCCACTAAACTAATTCCACAGTCCGTCGATTTGCAAAACTCATCGGGACAACAGACAATTGTTGGAATAGGTTGTTTTACGGTTTCCACCATCCATAAAAATATTGAAAACGCTTTGGGAGTCATCCAGTTTGAAAGACAAAGCATCGAGAAGGGTGTTTCAACAAAAACAATTGTTAATTTTTGGGTTACTTTTTTTTGTATTTTTCCAGAAAAAACAATAACATTTAAAATTGAACGGTTCTGTACCAACTGAAAATTCGATTCTAAACAAATTCATTTCTATGAGCTCGAGCAATAGTTGACGAGATAATTGGAAGTCAAATGCGAAAACTGCGTTTTTTTGTGTATAGCAATATGTTCCACATAGAATATACTTGGTTTCGTTGTGTGAAATGCCAACATCCAGTTTAGAATACTTTTGGAGCTAATTTGACTGGACTATGTTGACCGTACACATTGACATAAAATAAATAAAGTTCGTTAAGTGCTCCCTCCCCTAGCAAAAAATTTTGTGATGGTATTATCACAGATACATATTATAGGTAGGCAAGGCCGTGCGAGGGGGGCCCAGGCCCTGGACAGCCAAGTCTGGGGGGCGCTGAAGTCGCCCGTCGTCGCCTTCGTCGGAAGCGTCAAAGGCGTGAGTGAAAGATTTACCTCGAATTATATAAACGAATCCGTACATACTCTTGTTTCGTATTTTATAAATTCAGAATCAGTAAAAATTTAAAAATTAAAAACTGTCGCGTTTATAAAGTCGGTAATTTCATGGAGTTAGGAAATCAAACAAAAGTGCCTGCATTTGCCATGTTTGATCTCAAATTGCCATGGCACCACTGAATTTCTTAAAAGCGCCAGTTTTTAGTTATCCAATTTCTTGGATTCAAAGTTCAGAAAATTAAAAGCTACAGTATGCATGGATTCGTACTTTTTTTTTCTCTACAAAAAACCTAAATAGACTTTCTAAAATAATTAGAGAAGTCAATAATCAGAAATGAAAAAATACTATTGCAATTCCTATAGGGCGTTGTTCAAGTCACCACCCGGTATAATAATATATTTATTATAGAAAAACAAAAATTATGTTTATTATTCTAATAAAATCTTTCCTTGCCCAACCACATAATTTTATATTTGGAGGCCAAATTTAGTTTCCGCCCTTGTATAACCAAACCCGCTCCATCAATTTTTTAAATGTTTAGAAAAGAGAAAAATGAAGAATTAAAATGTATCCTATTTCATGTAATTTATGATGTTATAGAAGTGAGCGCTTATCTTATCTACATAAAGGCCGGCGTTCTGAAGCCGAGGAAATAAGGTTTGAGTATCTGTATTTTATTTTTACAAAAATGACTCCATCTATTACACACTTTTACCACACTTCTGTGCATCTACCACATTTTACGACAAATTATTTCGACTGCTTCAAGGTAGACAACACACTAACCGTACTCTATTAGGTGTTGCGTTTATTTCTATAGCATTACATTGATCGTCTGTAGTATATGTTGTCTGTGACCTTAGTAAAGAACTTTACATATTTGTGTAGTGATATTTTGAATAAAACTAAGTTTGTTATGTTTAAGATTGTTATTTACTGATATACTAATGTATGCGTGGGTTGGAGTTCGATTTTTGAAGGTAGGCGAAGCCGTATTAGGCTAAACACTTCATATTGTGTGGTAAAAACCATTGTAGCACTGTGTGGCAAACTCCAAAATTATAACAGACATTTCATTGTGGAGCTTTTGTGTTAAAATGTTTATAATAAAAATCTCGTAATCTGCGCTCTCAATGTTTTGAAATTTGGCCGAGATTTGATCGAGCTCTTAGAATTAACATAATATAAAATACAAATTAAAGTGGTGCACAAATCAAAAAATCAAAGCATGCGGTGCGTCTGGGTCCGCCAGTGACGTCACAACACGCGGCGAAAAAATTCCGTGGTCGAGCAGTCTTATTATATAGCATTCTTGGGAAATCCCTATATAATATCTACTTCTACATGAATATCAATGTGAACGTGTTCTGTAGGTTCTTATAAGTTCGGTTGTACCTCTTTTTGGTTCTATGATCAAATTCTAGGATGGTAATCTGGATATGGGTAAGAGCATAGACCAATATGGTAAGAGTAACGGAAAAGTAAGAATGTGTCACATATGGTGTATTTAGAACTCATCTCATCCTTTAATTGCAAACGACGTACGTTAGGTGATCTTCAGATTGCGTATTGCAAAACCTCTCATCACGTACTTGAAGATATTGATAATTTGTAATAATAATGTTGATACGAGTATACTGCTAATCGCGGTGATAATTTTTGTAAAATGTGGAGTATAAAAGAAATAGACGTATTTGTTGTTAAGATAGTGAACCTGCCTTACCTAAAGAACATTCTACTGAACATGAACACTATAAGCTTTGCACTTGTTACGTTATTAGTCTATCTCCATAAGGTAAGTAAATCTGCATAACTTTTTTCACTTCATGATGAATTTTTGTAGACCGAGTCCCTTTGCGTTAACGTGCTAAATATGGAAGAGCAAAAATGTGCGGGAACTTTAGCAGCAGATACTATTTTAAGCTATTATCTTAGTAATTCACAACTTCCAATTTTCGGGGAATACCTTAAATGCACTTGGGAGGCGTTCAATTTAACGTCAGCAGAAGGAGACATTTTATACGATAACCTGAAGAACATCAAATCATGGAAATGGACAATCTTACGTGACTGTGACGACTTTATAGATCTTCAACTTAGAGGAGATAACATCTTTAAGAACAGTGTGAACATTTGTCAAAACACTGCGCGTGGTGGCATAATGACTCCTCTCAGTGTAACGAGGTGCATTCGTGATGTGATTAAAAGCCATTAAAGAGACTACCAAAAAAAATTTCAAAACATTAGTTTATTACCACTCGTTCTTTAAAACATTCGTAGAAAATAAAAAAATACTAGCTTCAGTGTTTGATTTATGTCAAGTCGTCGCTTAAAAGTAAAATTTAGTCCAAGATCCGAGATTAACAACCTATAATACAGGGTGGAGAATGGAGTTCCCCTAATAGGGAAGCCCATACAAATCGAAACTATGGTAGAAAGTTTTACCTTTTATTAACCAAGAACACACAATGTCATTTAAGAATATGCATTATTAAACTGTTCTAAACAATACGTCACTCAAATTGCGTCCTTCATTCGTGACACACTGTTTGGGTCGTTCTTCATTACTTCTTGTGTCATGCCATGCTATCGATGCTATCGATTTTGACATTGCATTTTCATTTCCTGAATTTGTTAAGCTCCTTTTTAACCAGTTGCTGAAGTCAACTGGCTTCTTTCCGGTCATCGGGGGCTTGCGTCGTTCTGGTCCTTCTAAGTGCCCTATTCTTAGCTCTGATCAGAGCCTTGATTGTTGGTTTTTTTTCTGTGGTGTGCTTATATAAGTGGTGGAAGGCGCGTAGGCGTGCTGAATATCCATGTACATTTTTTATTGCCGCTCCGATCCCTTGGACTGACTGAATTATTATCGGTATTGGTCCAGTGCGACTTATGTTTTTAGAAAATGAGTTCCAATTTGTATTCCACTTAAGGTAAGCATGCTATGTAGTATTATTGTTGTGATTGCCAGATGGTCAGAGGTCAAGTAGTGAGGAGCTAAAGATACCGTGATCTGCCTATTCATGTTCTTCGTTAGGAAGATGTCTAGTGTGGTTGTCTGCCCTAGTTTCCATAATAGTCTGGGAAATAGAGACTGAAAATGGACCATTTCCTGCAAAACGAGAAGTAGTTCCAATTTTTTTTGCATGTCATGGAAGAATATGCGGTGGTTAAGAATCTAAGTTTTCGACCTCCCACCCCTTGTGCTTCCCCTGTACCACATTTAAAACCAAAGAAATTTGGTTGGTTTTTAGTTTTTCAATCATATCTTTTTATAGGTTCACTTTACAAAAAAATATTGTTATTACAAATTATAGAGTAGAAAATTATACACAACTTTGATATACACAACTTTTTTGTGAAATGTTTATTAAAAAAGATATAGAGCTTGAGAGTTGGTTATATTTTTAAGAATTATGAAATTTCTATTCAAACGTATATTAGAAACTGCTACAATCTCAATTAATTATAGAGATAAAGTATAAAATTTGGTTAAAACATCTACGTAGAAATTTCAGAATTCTTAAAAATATAACCAACTCTCAAGCTCTATATCTTTTTTAATAAACATTTCACAAAAAAGCAGTGTATATCAATAAGTTACGTAGAATGTTATGGTCTACAATTTCTGATAACAATATTTTTTTCTAAAGTAAACCATCAAAAAGATATGATTGAAAAACTAAAAAACCAACCAAATTTCAGGGGTTTTGGGGGTGGTACGGGGGAAGCACAAGGGGTGGGAGGTCGAAAACTTAGATTCTTAACGATCAGATGACTGTCTCTGACATGCAAAAGAAATCGGAACTACTTCTGATTTTGCAAGTTAAAACCCTCTATTCCCTGGACTATAACAGGTGGGTTCGCTGAGTGAAAGATCGGCTAAATGAGGCTTTTAATGATTCTGTTCACGTTCAGTGACGGACCGTAAGCTGTTGTGAAAGGTTGTTCCGAATCCGTGAGTCGCCACCTAGTACTGTGGAGGTCTGTGCTTAGGGAAATGTACGTCCTGGTCGTAGGTGGACGGAAATCAATCTGAGTGGGCTGTTGTTTGCCATTTGAATTGAAATCTGGGCCTAACCTAACATCTGCAACGGTGTAGTGGCCATTACATGATGTTTGATGATTACATGATGTTGTTTCTGTGGATCGTAAAGTTCGGTAGGGCGAAACGATCAGAGATTTTTTCTACAGATAAGCGGATTAATTTGTTGTTTAGGTACAACTTTGTCAGTGCGTACAATACTTCACGGTTGACGTGGCGTTTTCGCGCACTGCTATAAAAGCAATGTTAGTTAATTAGGCGTTTAAAAATCTAGGAATTCGGAATTCATAAAAAAATTTCAAGTTTTTTTTACAGTTGTAGAAGAAAGCACGTTTAGATGAGAATCGCGGGACTTGTTCCCATCTATATATATTTAATTTTTTTCATCATTATCTGGAGTCTGAACTACCTACCCTATATTGATTTCTAATAATTTGCTTACATCTCCCTCCGAATGCGCGGAATTTAAAGGTAAAATAAAATGAAAATTTAATTTATGGCTCAAGTACTCACTAATGATATTGTGTTTGGAAATATAAGTATTTGTTTGGTAGTAAATCAATATTTGAGCGAAGTTCTGCTTAGTTCCGTTAGATTCCCCAAACCTGTTGTGCCTTCATGTATTATGCTCGCCAGGAGAGTATGGTACGATTATGATTGTAGACCGTTATCAAGCATTCTGTGACCGGCAGACTCTCCTGGTGAGCATTTTACTAGCCCTATATACAGTAGTTCTCAGAACACTTTTATATTAGAAAGTCATACTTATTTTAATAATCATTTCGTCGATTTGTATTAGTTTACCCTGGTTTAAACTTTTTCCAAAATAAAATTTATTCAGTTAGTTCCTGTAGTTTAAAAATTCGGATGATGCAAGATAGATGATTGAATTTTAAGTTTCAGATTCCCTCTTTAGGTTCAGATCGCGTCGCTTCTTGGCAATCAAAGCAATATTAGGGTGATATCTGCCTTCGTTTACCACTTCTTGTCTCGGTACCTAGGTACCTTGTATTTTTTGTAATTTAAATAGTAAGTAATCGCCCGCACTTATCAATTCTTCATTTTGCAATATCTATGGTTTTTTTCCTTTAAAGTTCGATCGTACATGTAATGCATTTTTCGAAATAACAATAACAATGATACATTAATTTCCTAAACATAGAGACCTTTTAGCGCAATCCACAAAAATGATTTTAGTAAAAGCATTGCCTTTCCCATTTGCAATTGATGCGTTCAGAGACAAATTTAGAAAGGTTCGTGACAGATGAGTGAGATTGATGAAAACACTTTCCATTAATTTAACGTATTCAGTGTTCGGTACTGGTATTTACATATCTATCCTTTTCAGTTATTATCACTACCTCTTAATTTTACTAATATAAGCACATCTGGTCTTACAGCCACAGAATCTACGCAAATATTCATTCAATTGCGTCCATCTTACACGACGGAAAATAAACCTGCGATATTACGCTATTTTATGAAGAATTCTGAGACGCTTCTGGGTACTCTGCAAAGAAATAGATGAGATTCCGAATGGGCGGGACCGTTTTAGCCGACTCACCACTGGATCACTCGCCACTATGACGAGTCACCAACGCAACAACCTCGTAAATATACGTTAACTGTTGTCCAGTTAATATTTGAAACGCATAACATAAAAAAAACAAGCATTAAACATTATGCTGCATGTCTATAGTTTGAACAATGGCCACTCCAAATATCCCACACTTCACAAAGAGTTGGTTTTAGTTGTCCTTGTTGAATGACAATCTCACAAACATTAATTAGGAGATTAGGCGGAATTTCGATCATACCATTCGATTTCTAGGTCAAATTTTGATTTGTATCAGAATTATTAGTTGTTATAATTTTGCTTAAATAATCACCTTGTATTTTATTTATTGGTTCAATTTTATCACGTGTTAAAAGACTAAATTTTAACTTTTGGAAATAATTTCGTAAGATTTGTAAAAGTTTATTTTCGGTGTTATACTCGGTGTTATATAAGAAGCTTTGTTATCGCGGCGTAAGCTAATTAGATTCAAACGTGCAGTTTATCATTCAACGATCATTAATTTGATATGAAAGTGGTGGCGGACGTTGAAAAGAAAGGGAAATAGTTTTAAGCTTAGATAAGGAAAGAAGATGGACGCATAATTCGCAAGCGATAGTGTTACCACCTGCCACATAATGAGATTGGCCAGTGGCGTAGCATCCGTAAATGCGAATAATGGAAGAAGTACCTAAAAAACAAACTACTTTTAAAGCTGTTACTCGTTTCTTTCCAATTGTGCGCCGGCTAAACGGTTGAACCAATTGTTATCTGTGCTAGTCACAGCAAATTTTTTTGCTCATGTTTCGGTTAGATAGAGAGAGAGATAATAAAACACGTTGAACAAACGAATGAATTCGTGCGTTGCGCTATTTATTAATCAGACACGGGTATAAACGAAACTTCCTCTTATCTTTTTTCGGGAATGCCTTTAAAACTAACTGTCCCTCCAGCTAAAGATTGTGATAAAATAAGAATCCGTATCCGTTTCCGTACCAATTTTCTCTTTGAAAAACGCGGTGTGCTAATTACTACGCCTATGGAGTTTATTGCTTAATTCCGTCCTTGAAGACGATTGTTATCAAAATTTGAACGCATGGGATTGGTTCTGTTGTACGAAATTGTGTATAGTCATTCATTAAGGTATGAATTTTAACATATTAAACGAAGAATATTCAAAGAAAAAGCTTTATGATGAAAATAGGAAAATACGTGGTAACGGCATTAGGCACATTTTCAATATTTACGCCTGAAATGAAATTCCCGGCTCCTCCTTCTCACTCCGGCTTTTGCATCCACAATCTGCACAATTCACCATGATTTTACGTTGTTTTTGTGTATTTCCTCTCAATTTAAGCACAAAACTCATAAAAAACGATGTTACTTAAATGACATGTTGTTCCTGACCTGATCTAAGGTTTTAAATGGAAGTGGCAGACGTTAATCGTTGCTTGTTTGTTTTGGTAGACGCTAAAACCGAAGCTAAAACATAGTCGCTTTTGTTTTGGTGATTTTCGCTTTCGCTGTTATTTAACCGTATTACCTATTGCAAAACAGTTCGTCTTGTCAGTTGGAACGACAGTCACTCTTTATCATCGCAAAATTCTTGTTATAGAAGAAAGTGAAGATTGTGAAGAAAGCGTTGTTGCCTAGTACCCGTTAAAGGGAGTTTTTCTATTATCAAAGAGATACATTTTACATCAGTA